GGGGGAGAGATGGTAGCTGGGAGATAGCTATCGGGTGATGGGGAGAGATGATAGCTGAGAGAGAGCTGGCTATTGGGTGACGGGGGCATGGGGGGGGAGATAAATGGAGAGGAGAGCTGAGAGAGAGCTATTTGGTGACAGAGAGAGATGATGACTGAGGGATAGCTAGTGGGTGATGGGGGTGGGGGGGAGAGAGAGAGAGCGCGCGCGAGCTGTAGGGTAACAGAGGGGGAAGCTAGCTACCGGTGACAGAGAGACAGAGGGAGGGTAGCTAAGAGCCATCGTGGTGTGACTGCTGCTCAGCCTCCAGGCCTGGAGGGCTAGTGGGGGTGACCCTCGGGGACAGTGGAGTCAGGACAGGTTCCAGTCCTGGGAAGCTGGAGGGAGGGTCTGGGTTGGGAGGGCGCCGAGGAGGCAGGGGTGAGGCCAGGAGGGCCGGGCCAGGAGGGCCGGGCCGTGGGGGCAGGCTGGTGGCCCCGGGGGTGTGAGGAGGGAGGGGCAGCAGGGCCCCTGCAGTAGGACTTGGTGATGCTGTGGGTTAAGCATTGGGCGATAACCACAAGGTTGCCGTTGTGGTTGAAGCCCATCATCCCTCCGTGGGAGAAAGACGAGGCCGGGTGTGCCCCGGAGAGAGGGGCAGCCCCAAGACTGAGCAGAGGGTGGGCTGGGCTCGACAGCAGGGGCTTGGGTGTTCGGTGTGAAGTCTGTAGGTTGGGGGTCGGGAGGGGCCTCCGAGACGGGAAAGTCACGGGTTGATCAATCCACAGTGTGGCCTCTTTCTTCTCAGGGACCCACGAGCTCCCCAGATCGGACATCGGAGACGGGGGCAGCCCAGGGTGCAACGGAACGCCCCGGGCTCTGCGTGGGGAAGGAAGACAGTGAGATGCTCTCTCTGGGTGAGCAGCGGGCACCTTGCCCCACACCACCCTGACTGCCCAGTACCGCTCCCCTGTCCTCCCCACACCACCCTGGGTCTGCCCTCTGTCCCTCTGGAGGGGTGGCCTGCTGTCTGTGTGTCACACTTGTGGAAACTGAGTCGCAGAGATCAAGTGTGAGCAGAGTTGGCTCCGAACTGGGCCCTCTGCCTGCTAGGCCTGTGCTCTTTGACAGTGCCCCACCCCACCCGCCACCCCCACTCGTTGCCTTCAGTGGGTCACATGCCCGTCCCGAGCCCCTGGCTGTGGGCCCAGGGTGTGGAGTGGCGCTTCACTTGGTGTGCAGACTCACCCAGAAGCTGGGCACTGGGGCCAGCTTCCTCCATACCAGAGGAGCTAGGGTGAGGGAGGGCAGGCTGACGGCCATCGTGGGAAACCAACCCCAACCCCAACCCCCACTGCTGATGGCCCCTCACATTGGCCCTGGGGGGTCTGGCAGAGTAGAAGCGCCCGAGGGCCGAGGCCGTCGATGCCGGTCTTCCCAGAGTGGCCTTGCCGCCCGGCC